CATTCCCAAAGGCTTTTTTAAACTCGAGGAGGATCATTTGAACCTATTTTGTCCCTGTCGCTCCATATAAGCGATAGGTCTGTTGTAATGGGTAGAAGTCTTCTCGGGCTTATATAAGCCTCATGAATATTGATTTTGTACGGAATTCAAAAAAACTACGGATGTTTTGTCTTTAAGGGCCGGTTTGCTTGTCCCAGTAACATGTAAAGTGTTGCGAATACATTTGGTTCTCAAAGAATAAAGGCATGGTGACTATAAAGTTGAGATTTTCTGCAAATTTCTCATTATTTCTTGAACCAGTGACCGCATGAAATTTCCATCTTGTTGCTCACACACATTAGGGCCAGTTTCAACACCAATTACCAAGTAGGGGATAAAAAATCGTGAATATAGTTGAGCCTCAGCCATTTCACCCCTAATCATCAGTTTGTTTGAGTCATGGCTTTATTCCTCATCCTGAAGCAACCTTAGACTCCTTCACTCGTGGGTTTTTTCGCGTTTCTTCCAACACATAACAGCCAATTCTGAAAAATAGACATTCGCATACGTAATTTAGAAAAACCCAGCAAAGGTACTGCATGCACTCACACACAACCACACGACAAAGTGGGTCAGAATTATATGGATAGGTGGAGAGAGAGGTTGATTACTGAACCCCAGTTCATCCAGTCTGCACCCACCACATGCAACAGAAATGACTCAAAGCAAAATACCAGAGATATTATTACCAGTCAAATTGGAGAATAATAAATAGTGTTGAAGTGTTTCCAATTCACATTACAACATTCTGACAAGTTGCTCATTTTTTACTGTAGAAAGCATTTTATTTCCATCTGACTGTATTTGATCGATATCCCTAATATTATTTCAGAATGTACCTTATCTTATAACAATTTTATTCAAATGTCTAATCAGTTTTACTAATGTATATAAGTAAAGCAAGGAAGTTGTGTGTGTGACTTGAAGTGATTATGAGCAATAATATGTGCTCGAAACGTAGTCATCAGTAAATATTACTGTACAACACTGTGTGATTTATCAAAATGAATCTAATCTATAATATGGACCTCATTTCTGCCTAAAATTTTAAATAATGACTGCGGATCTGATCTATTTTCCCTATTATTTTCTACCAGGTCCGAACACTTTGGAAGAAATGTCAGGAGAATTCAAAAGCAAGGGAGGAATTATATTGTTGTGGAGTACTTGTCCCCACACTTGGTTCTAAATTTATCGAGCCGACTCCCAGAAGAAGTAATGTCAACGCCATAGATTGACTCACTCACACAGGGTTTGGACAAGCACAGAAATCGATTAGATAAAGGATTTCTATCATCAATCAGTAAGTCTGGTTGACATATATATGTGTATATCAACTTCAAATTTAATCAGCAGTCTGTTTTTACGTTTTCTTTATTTCTTTCTCTGTCTTTTAGTCTGAATAACCTACACTAATTATATCTATTATTATTACCTCTTTTCTTTTGACGAAGACGACACCAAACAACTTAAAGGTGAAAGGATTGACTCCATTCACATTAGCGACAAAGTCTTAACACACCGCATACTACAAGCAACATATAATTAATCCCAGCACTACTCCTTTTGGAGTCAACCAAAGCTACGACAATCGAGTGGCGGGAAGAATTACGCAGAAGTTTGCCGAGGACCAGGAACGTTTACCTCACAAGGAAGAATTCAGCACAAAGAAGTCAAATTGGTTAATACGGCTGGACTTATCCGGCATGTTGGTTGAAATTTCGCTCGGCAAATTTTTTTCGTCAATAATTTTTAATAAAATTTTGTTATATGTTTTCTGGATTGATAGGAATTCTCATTTCCTGGCTAGTTATGTTGGTGTTCGCGTCATTTAATCTGACTGCGACACACTTAGCATATTGGTTGTAATGATTAGTGTTTCATACTGAATGCGTCAAAACATCTCTACAATGAAGAAGATGGAATAGTTGGGGGGTAATGTCATCTACACAAATAGTTTATTTCTTGTAGAAGCTGCAGCTTTCGAAATAGTGTCATTCAATGAAGACTACGTCAAAATGTGGCTATTTTCGTGTGAAGAACAGTACCATTTTACAAAAGAATGCTATCAGTACATGGGAATCACCTATAAATGCCAACAGAACGTAAAACCAATGTGTAAACAAACGGCTACGGAACTGCAATATAATATAACCGACTAACATAGACGAAAATGACCTTTGAGCGTCTCACTCCATCAATGACCTTGAGCATGCGGGATAATTTCAGCCGTTAATATTATCTAGTAAAATCGATATTGGATATTGGAACCTCCAACAAGCGCAAAATTAGGTGTGAGCGTTACTTCAATATTTCATAAAGGCATTTGTGTATAGTTGGTTTGTTACGCCTCCGTGCTGACTGCATGTTAATGTAAGCACTCTCTCTTGGGTAGACGTGCAATATCGTAGCCTAAGTGGGCTACTTGAGTCCCAAGGTAAGGAATAACGACCCGATCTCGTCGTCTCTCGTGAAAAAAGTATAAGCAATCAGATTAGCTGCAAGATAATAATTCAATGATTAATAATGTATATTTAAGACGGATATGTGGGAAAATATAATTAATTACCCCAACCTCAGTGATAAGTTGTTTTAAACGTTTCCTGGCTTATCTTACTTACAACCGTAAGTAAACTTACGGTATTATAATCTAACTCTAATTTAATCGCATTGTGAAAAGTCAAAATATATCTCCCATACAGGTCTTACTTATATTTACTTACTAGAAGGCGATATTCCCAGTGGCTTGTGGGAAGTGTGACACATTTCATTTCATTACATCTAGTTCTAAAAAACTTGTGGACCTCCTTTTTACGAAACACTGCTTATCTTGCGCCAACATTGCAACCCAGGTGTTAGTTATTATTAAACTTAGCGGGAAATGTTATGCTTACAGTCGTGATTGAATTTTTTGAAAAATCAAGAAAATATATGTTCCGAAAGACGTGTTTGTTTTAACTGAACACGTGAATTTAACTGATTATCTGTCATTTATTCTTGTGGTTTCCATAGTTAAACTTTTAACCTAACTGGTAACTTTACCATGTTGCAGAAATCTGTATCGAATCCTGCGGTGAGATTTTCTGTTTTGCCTTACTTTGAGGAAGTGCATCTATTCAAAGTCTCAATTAACCCTGGTGTATGTACGCAGACATACATCTGATTCGGATAGTACTACCTTGAATCAGCGCTGACTGGTTTTAGGGTGTGGCAGTGTTTTACAATCCCATTAGTTGTGTGTATTGAAGCTCATATGCCCGTATGGAGACTTTTCGTAGGATAATTACACTCAGAAATTTGAAACGGGATTTTCAATGCTGATTTTGCGATTGGCATTGTATAGCAATCCAAAATCCGTATGAAAAGTTTGGGTCATTTTCTCGTAGTTGGGTTAGATTGGGAGTTTAAATTCTCGTAATACATTCGTTGCAAAGTATGAATAACAATTATAACGTGTCATTAACATTTTTTTGAATGTAAATGTTATAAACGTTCAAAGTAATTTATAAATTATACGTAGACAATTGTAATATTAACTGTTTGCCGAAAGTTCGTAGTAAAAAATCGAGTGTTGAGGGGGATGGGTTATTTTAATACACATTAAGATGTTGATAAGGGAAAAAATATCATATGCTCAGAAGTCATAAAATGTCGTGTATTAAAATAAGAGAAGACAAATAGAGAGTTTTAGTATTGTGACCAAGCAAAGTGTGGAGTGATGCTTTTAACTGCACATGGTCTTAAGCTATATCATATTGATAACATGTAGGTTTCCTTTGTTACGAGCAATTTACACTTCAGGCAAACAACCAATGACTTCAAGAATCGGTGCGTCGGTGACACAGCGGTTACGACTCTCGCCGATCATGCACATGGTGCGGGGTTCGATCCACTGCCGACGCACACCTGATATCAATGGTTGGCGAGCAAATTTGGGATACCGATATCGTAGACTGAAAATTCCATACTTGTGCCAAAAATACAGTGTGGAATCAAACTATAATCAAAAATAAAATAAAAATTATACGATATTGTCCAACGTAATACATTTTTGACTTGCTCACAGCATGTTAGGGCAGTTCGGGCAAAATATGTGTAGTACATATGTGGTCGATGAAGATTTGTCCTTTCTATGAATAAACTCATATGCTGAAATTGTCTAGCGATTTATTTCTACTAAGAAATAGTCAGTCTTCGAAGACGGTTATGTTCGGCGTGAAAACTGTATGATGCAATAAAGTTACAAATACTCATGATCTTTTCTTGGTTTTCTGAAGTAAACTTCACTATAAGTACCAGCTTCATAGAATTTAAGAAGTGCAATTCTACTGTCTTATCCAGTATACTGTTCAGTCATTACTTTTGGTAACATTCAAGGGACTTGCCAACAGTAAACTCTAAATTAGTTTTTGCACTTTATGATGTATATGGTAACCTTAAGAAAAATTCTATTCTATTGGAGATTCTTCTATGCCAAATTCGGTTCTAAAGTCAGAGACTTTGTCAATAGACAGTTTCAGTTCACAACTAGCCTAATTTAACCGGGGGGGGGGGGGATGTAGAAATACTGGTTTCTAGATAATAGGCGGTATAGTCCTTAAGTTTCTAGTTCAGTGTATTGTTGTCTAATCTTATCTCCAAATGCATGACTTGTGTTACCATTCTGATAATTGTTCTCGTTTCCTCTCAGAACATATACCTTATAATCTCTCATTCTCACATTGTAATTTTGAACTGTATGTAGAATAAGTCCTAAATTACTTAGCAAACAAATCTTTTGTTGAACAGTGAGTTTATATTTAATTTATATTTTAACATTTTTATTACAGAATTGTATACATCTACAATTTTCTACAGTATCAGTATCAGTGTCGTCGTAATCAAGCCCTTTCCTTCTGGTAGTGATGTGCTAAAAGCAAACCTGTATATACATTCAAAAAAGAAAATCTATTTGGTGCAAAATGATTGCAACAATTTCAAATAGTCTGTTCATCAAGTGTTGTAGCTATTCTGTTTTTTCACCAGTAAAATTTTCTATGAATACAATGTCCACAATGGTATATCGTAACAGAAATCCAAGGTTGAATAAATGATTTCGTATAAATTACTTATTATTTATTCTAGAAATCTTGAATTGCTTGGTTTAGCACCAAAAACAAAAGGCTGGGAATTTCAAGCTCCACGAAAAGACTTTTGGAATAAGTAATCCTGTTTTTATATAAATGTATTTATAAATCTATCCCTCTTTTCTTTCCTCCTAGAGTGATATTAGATAAAGCAACAAATCATACAACTGGTTTTGTTGTCCATAATTCATCAAATATACTAGTCTCTGCTTCAACTAAAGAGAGGAGTATAAAAAAGCATTTGTTTAGGTATTATACTGATTGATTATATCATATACATTTTATGTATTAGTTGCACTGATGTCTCTGCTGCAGCAAACATTGGCAGAGTATTAGCCTTCAGGTGTCAACAGTGTGGTTTAATTGAATTATTTACTGATACAACTGAATTATCTAAAGAAAATGAAAGTGTAAGTTGTTTGTTTCTTTTAAATGTACAATTTTTTGAAAAAAAATATAGACTCGAGCTTTCTATGAGTCCTTGTTAGCTGGTGGTATACAACTCACAGAAACACCACAAATTGAGAGTGCAGAACCTATTGGTATAGATTATGATAATATGTCGGATGAAGAGAAACGCAGCATGTATCCAAGTTTAATTGAAAATCTTCGAACAATACCTGATTGGGATAATATTCCATATCCATATTCTCTAAGACCGAGATCTCAAAGAACGTCGTTGAGAAACAGATACCAAGTAAGCTCAATCTTTTTAATGATCTTCCTTAATACTAAATACTTCTATTTTATTTGTTTTACTAATTCATTAGATAAGAAATCCTAACTTATTTATGTATTGTTATTGCTCCTTTGGGTTCCAAGTGGAACAGTAGCACGTCTTCATTTCATCCTGTTCTTAGTAGTTCTTTTTGTATGTCTCCACGATTGCCCATCAACTTTCATCTCCTCTCCACATGATTTCCTCAATGTCAACCTCAAACATCCAGCTCGTCGTTTCCCATTCGAGAGCCTGGCGCGTGATGTCACTTAACGGTCTCTTCAGCATATGTTAAAGCCATCTCTATTTCTTTCAGCATATTTGTTGAGCAATGGATAAGAAATCCGTCGTTATGCTTATTTATCTTCTTGTAAAGATGAGAATGATTAAGATACATTAGTAGTAAATAGCTTTTCTACCAGTGTCAGTGTGTATCCAGTCAGGTTATGTTACAATCGTAGAATTGAAAAATAGTACTACATTCATCTAACATTTATAAACTGCTTCTCAGTGGGTGTTTATTCATGAGGTGTGTACTAAAACCAGTCTGAAGGGTTCACTACTCATTTCATAAATGTTTTGATAAGAACACTAATGTCTACAAAACCAACATTTTTTATTCTACTGCCTGGCATAGGTTGACTCCCTTATTTATCTAGAGCTGTGGCACACTGATTAAAGCACTCAACCTCCAACCAGTGGGTCTTAGATTCGAAATCCTCTCCGTCTACTCTGGTTTAAGAAACCAGGTAAAATGTACAGCCCTCACAAAAGAGGTGTGACTTAGTGACGACTGCATAGACTCTCAAGTGATTTTTCAGTTGAGGCTTGAGGCTCTTGCTTTGTAGATGATAATTTGTAATAAAACGGTATCACTCTTTTTCAGTTGTAATAATTTTGTCTCATGATAAGCATCTGTTTATCACACTATTAAGCACAAGCTTAGCTAAGTATTAGTAATAACTGTAATGATAAATCCCTCTAGAAACGTGGGTTTCTAAAGGGACATCTGCTGTTATGTGGGTGTAGGCAGTCGGCAGGAAGCCCTGGATCTAAAGCACCTAGTGAATCGCAATATTATCGGTTTCTAGTTATCCTGCATTAACTATTTAACAGACAAATGTCTATAATAGTTGTGAAGATATTGTATTGTATCATTCTACACTATTAAGTATTTATAACCGGAACTTTTGGAGTAGTCATTGTTTCTACTGGAAAAATAATTCAAAATCATGAGATATAGGTAAATGCGAAAATTTATATTGTTTTACCCAGTCTTTAAATGTATCAAATCACTCCACTAATATATTAGGATGCAGTACCATTTACAATTAAGTGCCTATAGGCACTTAGTATTTAAAGTGTGTTAAGTCACTCCCTCTGTATATGTTATTGTATTTATGCACAAAAATTTCATTATATGTAAGCGATATTCATTTTAAATACTCCAAAATGTAGTTCCATAGGGATGAGGAACAAAAAGGTTAGGCTACCGAGGGTTACATGGAAAAGATCATGTGTGAGAAGAGAATTAACACTTTTGAGGAGTAGTCGTAGAGCAGGGCTGAAATTGATGGAAGGGAACAGAACGAAATGGAGATGTGCCATTAAATGAGTAATAGTTTGGTTCCTCTTTTCGATCGGTTATGAAGTTTAAAATGTATCCAGAGAACTTTAAAATTCCACAGAGAAGTATTTAATGTTTTAATCAGTGTTCTGTTGTAAAATTTTCGTGTTTTATAAATATGCAAAATACATGACATATTATTAAACTAAATCACATTATACACCATTGTAGATTTTGTCGAAAATTCGTCAAGGCATGGTATGGGATTCGTTCTACTCTAGAATGGTACATCCACGAAACAAAGCCTATTGGCAACATGATTTTGAAGAGGCACAAAAGAAGAAACTTGAATCTCAAGTTATTACTTCAGATGATAATAAAGATGAACAGCCTGTCAATGTAATTGTCCCGTCTAAGTGGCAGTTAACGTAGTAATAAAAATACAATCTATCCTTTTCATATAGTCATTCAATGAATTATGTAAAGTATTTGTATGAAATATAAATCTTGTAATAACTGTGTTTTGCTCATACTAAATTAATTGCTGACGAAATCTTGGCACGTATACAAAAGGCTCGTGTGTCATTTGCCAATATCTGTGTCATCTCTGGCGTAGAAGTGATATCCGGCTATCTATCAAAGGATGTGTGTGTACTGCGCCTCAATTCGCTACATCCTTCTCTACGGTTGTAAGACACGGCCATTGAGAGCAAAATATATGAAAGGACTAACATTCTTTGACTGCATCGGTGTGCGTTTTATCTCTCGACTGAAGTGGTATCATATGGTGAGTAACATTCGCGTTAGGTTTAGTGTTAGATAAGAAAGGGAATTCAATCGATGTGGTTTTGAAGTTACATTGATTGAGAGCAGTGTCAGGTGACAAAGAATTAAGTTGGAAAAGAGTTGACTGTTGGTTTGGGCCATCCACTTAGGATAGTGTGAACTGTTTGGTTGGGGTCCTCGGAATGATAAGAACCATTGGCCAGAGATTATGGGTGAAATAGCTCAAAATCGTTCTGATTGGTGCAGATGCATTCACTCTCTGTGATCTGCTATATCCATTAAAACTTAATTCTTTTTCCATATTTCTATTCTTTCTCCCTCACATTTCTGCTCGTTATCGTTCTTTTGAATCTTTTCTCTCTCTCTCTCCTTACTCTACCTATGTGTGTTACATGGAGTGCGTCAAGTTGAACTGCTAAACTTCTGTGCAAAGTTGTATGTTGAAACTCAGTTAGTGCTTAATTTAATTCGTTCATGAAAAATGTGCGGTGAGACTTGTTTTATTGGTTTTTAAATACTCACATTTCAGCTATATAGTTATAGGTTACAACCTTCCCTTATAACAAATTTGTGGTCCCATCGACATTTCTTTATCCAGTAAATGTAAAGTAATCGAGTGGCAGTTATAACTGTCATACTGAACCTATTCAGACTCAATACTTTTAATTCTATATTAGTTTGTTTAATAGATGTATCACACAGTGAAACAGTATTATTTACTGGATTGTTCTCCTTCTAACTCTGTCCGTTGGAACTGGAGCTCGTAGACGTAGGTATTTAGGAATGATTTCAATTTTTTTAACCATCAAATGTTGAAAATACGATGATTTTCATATCTTGCTTCAGTTTGCGAAAGTCGAGTGAGTTTATACTTTTAGCCTTGTGAAGACAAAGTGTGTCGTCTGTGATCACTAGTACATATTTTGTTCAGTAATTGTATCATTACTTTGCAACGATTAGAACAAAATTAGGTGAGATGGCCTCGAATAAGCCATTAAATTGGCCTTATTCTGAGTTTTCTTTAATAAACTAGAAATCTTTTTTTCTACTTTTTAAGTGTTAATGTTAACCCTCATCGATTCCCCTGTTGAAGTTCAAGAGTATACTAGTGTACTAATACACCAGTGATGTTAATTAGGTTTGAAAAGTTGTATTTTCTACCTATTGAAATATCTGGCTACCTGCCTATCTAATGGTGAATATATTTTAAAGTAGTTCAGCCATTCCCGACGGATAGCTGTTACCTTGACGCGGTGCTCGGGCATACATATCGCAACGGCCCAACGAGCTAAATTGGCTGGAACCAATATTCCTGAAGGTCCTACCATGCCAGAAAGGTTGTTTGTATGGCGATTAGACTAAAAGCAGTTATCGTCATAGTTTAAGTGGTTTACACTATGTTCAGGGTTTGTTGGCAAAGTCGTACTACTGTGGAATAGGAATGTAACAACAGTATGGTGTTTCTCTTAGATGCCCAGCAGTGCTACCTCTCCACTCTAGAGAATGAGGGCAAAAATGTTTGGCACCGAAAATTGTACATCCGGACTTGTCTTGCAGCAGTCCGTAGCCGTCAGTAAGATCTTAATACGGATACAATACCAAAAACCAATTCAAACAAGCCGTGCGTGACTGACATCAAGCAGTTGTCCTATGGGATCTATGGTCAAGCAACACTAACGCTCTTCCTGTTTCCTAGAGAAAAATTCTTTCCCTACTGTACTCTTGAAATATGATAGTTGAAGCTTGAATAAATATAAGTTGGTTACGGTTTATAATCATAGTTCGCTGTAGAGAGAGTACTATTAAATGTAGAAATTTATTTGTTCTTCAAAATTTTGGACATTTTAACACAGACATTCATTTAAGCCCAAATAAGATACTTAGAAGGCAAATATCCCTACATTGTCTAACTTCTAATTTTCTGTGCAATCGTATCACAAAGATCATGGTTGACAACTAATTAAATATCAGGTGTTGGTTTGCAGGGATTCGATTGGTTACTGGTTTGGTCACGAGCTGACATCAGTTACAGAACCATTAAGAAATCCGGGAGTACTAGACAGCCGCCTCATCCTAGTGTGGGTCTCTTCAGCAGTACGCAACCGTCGGGTCTCCAACCCAGGATCTCCCAGTTACAAGGCAAGCTTGTAGACCAATCAGCCACTGGGAGCCAGTCAGATGGCCCATGAATTTCAACTTCTGTGACTGGTTGTATACAGTATCTGACCTGGAGCTCCAGTGAGAAGTCGTAACCAATTAGGTCTACCAAGTGAGTTAAGAGAACAGTTACTCACCAGTGGCATTGGCGGTTGCGCTACATATATATATATATATATACGTATACAATATCCTTAATACATTTTAGCCTTGTAACTGGAAGGTCCTAGGTTCAAACTCCGGCGAGTGTCTACCGCCGAAGAGTGCCGAACCAGGACAGAAGACCTACCCAGTACTGCCTGACTTTCCAATGGTTCTCTAACTGATAGTTAGCTCATGATCAAACGTTCAGCTAACCAACTTTTTTAAGATAAATTAATGGTGATCGAGATCGTTTGGTTCAAGTATATACAGAGGGAAATAGCTATCAGCCTTTTCCTGTTCTGGACAGCTTGACCCTGTGAAATACGACTGGTTATTGACTATGTATGCTTTTATTTTATATAGTTCATTAGTTGTTAATAGTAACGTGATTGTAGAGAAGATATCTGAATATCAATTTTCAGTTAATAATTAGCTACTGGATCGATGACCTGAAGTTCTAATGAGAAAGTGTGACCAATGGGCTCCACCATGTTAAGGCGAAGTGGATATTCATCGGTTGATGATAAAACTACATCGCGAATTGACTGGAATTAGAATTAATGGGTCATTGAATACTGGTCTAGTGTCTGAATATACCACATATAGGCCTGGTAAAATGAGGATTTGGGTTTGATTCTTAGTAGTGGGGTCATGGGTACACACTGTTGAAGAAACAGGGGCTAGGATTAAAACAGCTATGGTTATGGTAATTACAGAGGTTGAACATACTTCTTCCAGATATAGCGTTCACTTCAGATCTCTGTTCTGTGCACTAGCAGTTATTCTGGTCGAGCTTCTGTTGTTTCCTCACTAACTTAGGGGACACATTTAAGGGAATCATCTTTATCCTGGGTATAATGGTATTCAAATTACCAATAAATATTAGATAAATAATGTAGGCTTTATCAGAAACCAAAATCATGAGATGATCATTGAAAGACAGGGGGTACTGGACATCTGTTTCGTTCTAGTCAGTAGTGTGAAACCATAACTCCATCGCTAGGCACTGAACCCAGGGCCTTCAGATTATGAGGTAATCTGATTGGCCATTCAACTACTATTTTGGAACTCAGTGATGTGTGATTTATAACTTCTGTCGATTAGTGACTTAGTGCTACGCCTAATATGTCTGAATCATACTGATTCATGACAAAATCTACGTTGAGATTAATTCGAATCTCTACACAATCCATAAAATGATAATACGAAGTGATATAATCTAGCGATATTTAACGTTTTAAGTTCTCATTCAAGTTTGTTCACCTTCATTTCGGTATCAGTCTTCTTCTCAATACACCAGCCTATTTACTGAATCCATAATGATACTGACTGGATTTAGAGTATTATTAATCTTTCAGACTGACTATGTGAAAATGTTTATGACATCCATCCCACCTTCTAATGTGAATTGTTACTTTTTGGATTAGTCTGTGTGATAAGACTCAGCATAAAATATTATATCGTCCTTTCTCACGAATCTTGTGGTGCATTTACTATTCGGATCTATCTTTTCTCACGCATACTGTGATTTGGTGTGTGATCAATTCATCGTCTTTTGTCTCACCTTGGTTCTCGTCAGATCACCAAGCAATCAGGATAGAAATTTCCAGCCAATAAGATCAGTCCATTCTCACGGTTGTGAGCCAACTGTATTGTGATTAATTAAATATATAAATATGTTTCCCAATAAATGTATAATACAATATCTTACAGTCACAGGCCAGCCTTTGCCTTTTGATATTTTCATGGCTCAATGAATCAGAAGGTACAACGGACAAATAGACGTATTAGCGTACCAGTCGAGTTTATTACCGTTACAGTAATTAACAGACGCAGATATAATAACAAAGTGCAACGGATTTATTCAGTTCATTTCAGCAATAACACTGTATCAGTATCCCATCAGACCGTTGGAAGTGAAGTGATTGAAAACATCAAAACACCTGATTTGTGCATGCATTCTGTTTACAAAAGATGCGATCTCATGTCGGACTGCTCAATTCACAGGTGCTAACCAGAATTTAAGTCATTAGAACTATTCGGCTCAAAAAGCCGATTAGCTGTGCACGAAACCAGTTAAGCAATCATCGGACGTTTTTATTACCTTGATTTGAATAGAGAATCCTTTTGAATGGTTGTTAATAGTATATTCTATTCCTCTCTAGCACAAGAATGTTGTTATACGCCTAAAACACCGTCGGGAACTCAACGAGTTGACTTCATATATGATCGCAGCCCCTTTTTTGGGCAACCAAGTAGTATCAAATGGCCTTAGCTATCGATTTTCGTACGGCTTTTAAGTCAGACTTTTGCCATCGTTACAAAATATTTGGACAGATCTTTGA